AGTTTGTCTTTTATTACTGCTTCTGTCTGTATTCTTTTATGAGAACTATGCTTAATTCTTTTGATTCTAGACATCAACATCCCTCTCTTCAGAGGAAAAGGGTAAAAAGGCCAAGAAGAAAACCAGAAGACGCAGAGCCAAGGGTGAAGGAAAGCGGCAGTCAGAGGATGAGTGCTTCCGCTGTGGTGATGGCGGACAGCTGGTGCTGTGTGACCGAAAGTTCTGCACCAAGGCCTACCACCTGTCCTGCCTGGGCTTGGGCAAGCGGCCCTTTGGTAGGTGCCCAGCACCCATGCCAGCTTCTGATGACTTACAGAGGGCTTGCCTGCCATTCTTACCAGGCCTTTCTTTACTGACTGGGCCTTACCTGGTTGAAAATTCATGGGAAGGTCAGGCAGTAAATGTCTCCAGTCCACAGGACGGGCTCAGGCAGTAGCTTCCAAAGCCTAGTGTAGAGTGGTTGTTTCATTAGTACCAAGATCTAAAGTGGTACACACCAGGCAGGACTCTAATGGAGAAGACAGGTTCCACTGCAGCAGCCACCATGACTAGTCTGTCACTAGAGGGATTGGTTGTTAGGCACCTTACCTAACTCCCTCCCCAGGACTTACAGGCACTGTCCCTAGAGATGACACAGCTAGCAGGAATTGCTATTTAAGATGGAGCCACAGATTTGGCTCCCTGGAAGACAATAGGCTTTGCCTCTTACTACCCCTACATACTCGAGCGACCATAGCATCAGGATGAAATACAAAGACTTTACTCGAAGACAAGAAACCTAGTAATGGCTTTACTTATCTGTAGTGGATTTGACAGCTATCCTTAATATTAACAAAGAGCTTCAGAGATTCATATCTAAGCAGAAAACTGTTCCTTTATAATAGGCAAAGCACAAGCCAGGCATGTCAGCTCACACCTTTAATCCCACCACCTGGGAAGCAGAGGCAGGTGGATTTCTGAGTTTAAGACCAACCTGGTCTAAAGAGTAAGTTCCAGGATATTCAGAGGTACACAAAGAAACCATGTCTCGATAAAAAAAAAAAAAAAAGTCATAGGGAAGAGTAACTGCCATCAGTAAATATCTGCTAGTGTTCTTAAGCGGTCTGGTGTGATGCTGCAGTTGGCAGGAATGTATGCGGTAGTCTGCAGCACTTAGTACCTGCCTGGCCTTTGAGTACAAATTACTAGCTTCTCTCTGGCAACTGAAATGAAAAGCAGACTCTGCGTTAATTTGTATTTATTTGACTAGTCAAGTAAAAAAGTAATTCTAAGTTAAGTATGCTGGTATATTCCAATTGGCCCACCAGCTCCAGGCTGAAGCAGGTGGGTGGCTAGTTAAAGGTCTTGATCACACTGGGAAACATACTGAGATGGGGATCTCTTTTTTTTTTTTTTTTTGTTTGTTTGTTTGTTTGTTTTTTATTGGATGATTTATTTACATTTCCTATGTTGTCCCCTTACCCCATCCCCCACCACCCCCTCGGAACCCCCAATCCCCTCGCCCCTCCTCCTTCTTCTCTGTGGATGTAACCTCTATCTACACCCCCCCACTCCCACCTCCCCACCCTCAAAATTCCCACCCCCTGGGGCATCCAGCCTTCATGAGGTCAAGGTTCTCTTCTTCCACCTATGCCCAGCAGGGCCCTCCACTTTTACATATTCAGCTGAAGCCCTGGATCCCCCCCTAAGTGCTCCCAGGCTGGTGGTTTAGACCCTGGGAGCTGTGGTTGGTTGGTATTGTTGCTCTCCTCATGAATAATAAGACTGGATATTAACTCTGTGCTACAGCATATGCTTGAGGCCCTGGGTTCAATCCCTAGTATCCCTCAAGAAAATTATTCTCTACCCTGAATATATTGAAGCTTTGATTCTGTCACTTCCATTTGCTGATGGTGTGTTTTATTGCAGGGAAGTGGGAATGTCCTTGGCATCACTGTGATGTATGTGGCAAACCTTCTACCTCATTTTGCCACCTCTGTCCCAACTCATTCTGTAAGGAACACCAAGACGGGACTGCATTCCGTTCCACCCAGGATGGGCAATCCTACTGCTGTGAGCATGACTTGAGGGCAGAATCTGCAAGTAGTACCAAGACTGAGAAACCCTTTCCAGAATCACTGAAGTCAAAGGGGAAGAGGAAGAAAAGGCGGTGTTGGCGAAGGGTCACAGACAGCAAATAGCATTTGGTCAGACCCTGGGGTGGTGTGGGGCAGCCAGCCCTGCCAACAGTGGGAAGGCAAGTGCTGCCCTCACCCCAAGGACCCGGTTCATAGCGCTGTGTGTATAGGCCTACTTGGGTGGGAGGCAGCTCCTCCCACCACTGAGCCATCCTTAGCAGCTGTGCTGCGTCTGCACTGATGCTTGTCAGCTGCACAATTGGCAGTCCAGGATGAACAAGCCTTACTACGCAGCATCACCTCTACACTTGAATCTGAGACCCAACGTCAAGGTGCCCTCCCATTTCTATTTTAGATTAAAGTTATGATTGAAGATTAACTGGCATGTGAAATGCTTTTATCTTACCTGAAACATAAAGAATTTTCTAGAGGTCACCATTAGTTGTATCCTGATGGTTCAGGCTTCTATTCACATACTGCCCTCTACCCGGGGCAGACTAGGACTCAAGCCCTGGGTTCCTTCCAATCAGGATTGATAATATTTTGTTTTGAAACAGCCTATGTTCTTTGTATTAATGTGAATTTTTCCTCAAAGTGCTTTGTTTCCACTTTGAGTGGTTGTGGTGTTGCAAGATTCCTCTCGTGGCTTCCCTTTTTGTGGACATGACCAGTGACAGCAGTGTGGCCTGGCAGCTGCTTTTGTTTGCCTGTTTTTCTCTAATGTCTTTTGAACCCAGGTTCTTTGACCAACATTTGGGGGAAACTTTGTACATTTTCTTCACTTGGTAGTTTTCTGGCATTTATTCCCAACATACTTTTGCTAAGACTTTCATACTTTATTACCAGCTAAAATGTATCTGAGTTGTCAGGCAGATATAACTATTGAGCCCAGAGGGTGGTAACCACAAGGAGCCCTGGAGGGGAAGAGGGGAAACACAAGACAGCCTGGAGCCTAGGTTAATGCTGTTTGGTGCATTTGTTTGTGGAGCCTCAAGCTATTTGCCCTTTATCTCTCCACCAGGGCCCTACCTGGTTTCATAGTGGTCAAGTCTCATGGTACCTGTTTCCCTATGAGATTTAAGTGATTTCTTTTAAAGCCTCAGCCCAAGAACTACTGGACTGTCCTTGGGCCTGCTTCTGCCTTCCCAGGACTGCATCTTGGCCCCGGAGAGCTTGGGACACTGAGAAAGGAGACCTCATGCTTTCTTTCTATTGGGAGGTGCATTGGTGATATATCCAAGTGCATCAGCAGTGGATGGCTTTAGAAAAACCACAAAAAAGCTTAAACTAGCCATGAAGTCCCCAAGGTTTGCTGTCCACTGCTATCCTGCCCTCTAGCCTTTTAGAACTGCAGTTTCCATTTGAACCAGGACTGAGCATTCTTAGTGGTCAGCATCAGCCATGACACCTGCCAGTCTAGCATGTCCTGAGCACTGATCGGTGACGATCCCTTTGGCACTTCTATAGTAGTCCCCCAAAAGCTGAAGCAGCTTTGCAGACAACCTGTTGCTTTCATAGGCACAGGCCTCTAGTTACCTCTGAAGACACCTATTTGACCAGCAGGCCAGAAACACTTCAGTTTAGCATTTAATCTGGCTCAAACTGCTCTATACAAATACTAGATTGGTTCACAAATTTCGGCTATTTATAGCCCAAGTTTGGAAGGCTGATGTAGTGATAGGCCAGTCTGTCTTCTCACATGCACATGGCCCCAGGCTCCATGGTGGGCCCCTCATGTTGTCCAAAGCCATCCTTTCCTACCAGCTGAGTAGCTTTTGCTAAAGGTAAAAGGCACCAGAGCTGATTTTGCAGTATACTTTGGGAACAAATTGACTATATTTTTTTTAAATTTTAAGTAAAATCTTGGGAATTTTAGTTCCAAATTATTTTATGATCTTTATGAAGGAAATATTGTGAGAATTTTAGACAATTTCCCCTTTCTAAAAGTATTAATGTGTAAATAACACTAACTAAAAACCAACCGAAGACCTACTTACAAATCTGGGGTGATGGCCTTTCCTACAGAGGTACCAGCCAATAGGACTAGGGCTGTGACTCTGATGTGGTACATGTTCTGACTCTGACAGAGATATTACTTTCTGAACGAACATCAGCTCCAGTTTCTTTTTCCTTAATGTGACATAAACAAATGAAAACTGCCCATATTCTACACTACTCAGGAGCCATTCCCAAGTCAGCACACACCTAACTATGTGTACGCTTCTGCAAGGTGGCAGGAGCCCAGGGATGCACAGCCAGTGTCCACACTAGCACTGCTCTATGAGAATGTGGAACTACAGCAGTTAAAACCTAGGCACCTGTAGGGCAGTGCATCTGGCAAGAGTGATGGGGACCCAGGTGCTAGTTCATAAGGAACATCCTGGCACTAGTATGTAAGGATTCCTTGGGTCTCAGGCAGGCACACTCAGGTTGGCATTTCTGATGACTTCCAAGTGATATCTGTAGCATGATGTGTAAAGTGCCCATCTTCCAGAGCTACCTACTTTTCAAGAGTTAAGTATAAAAATGTTTTAATTAAAGTTAATGCAAACACTTGTCAGTTGCCAAATAACGTCATCTACATGGAGTGTAGCTGATGATTGTTAATAGAAAATGCTGTGTCCATGTGTGTCATGGTGTCACCGTATCCTGTTGAGATGTGAAATGTCCTATCAGAAATTAAATCTAAGTTTAAATGTGCCTATTGGTGTCTAAACTTCATACAATATAAAGTCAGCTTCCTTTTAGGAATGCCAGGTGCTGTCACTAGGTCTGATAGTGAAGGCTTAAAAACTTGAAATTTGGGGGAGGGGGGAGGTAATACTGAAATATAGATGAGAATTACCAGTTGGGGAAAAATAGCATTTAAAGTGGAAAGTTGTGTTTGGAAAACTGTAATGAGTATTTTTTTATTAAAAAACTTTAAAGGCTTCTTTCTTACACTTATTTAATATGTAACTGTGTTTGACTCCTCTACTTCCTGGGTGCCCACAGTTGCCCTACTCAAGAATTTACCTACCTTCTGTTTTCAGGTAGCCTTATCTCCAACCCTGCCTCTCCTCTCCCAGGCTCTGACAGCTGTATATGGAAGGGTTTGGTCTCAGAGCAGGGAGTCAAGCTAGCCTGAAACACAGTTCTGAGGGCTTTCTTTTTAGAAAAACTAAACTTTAATACTCAGGTCATTTTACAATGAAAATAGGAACCCAGACACAGGTTTGAAATGTTTACAACTGTACAAAAAGACATACAAATCCCTGGTAGGTAGTGGCATCAAGGCTGGCCATAGACCCCTCACACCCTAGACTACCAGGTGTCACCTTTGGTCCCCTCAACCTCATGAGGGAGGGCATGCACAAGCAGAGAAAGAGAAAGCCCTCTCAACTAGTACTGTTTTTTTTGTTGTTGTTGTTTTTGTTTTTTAAAGAAGAAATAAAAATGTAAAAGTCTAACAGGCACAAAAGTTATGAAGTAACTTTTGGTTTGCATTCAAAACATAATGAATCCAAAAAAAGGGTATCTTAATCACACAGAAAAACTAACTCATTAAAATATAAAAAATAAGCCTAAACTTCCCAGAGAAATGGCTGGGGCCCAGGAGCCTGTGGATAGCATGTGCTGGGCGGAGCACATCCTTCGTTCGGTATCTGCTCAGGTCACTTAGCATAACCAGCAAAACTTGTCCTCTGGTCTGATGCGGGTCAGCAGCGGAGACAGCACTTAGGACACATTGGTCATAGGCTTGTACTTCTTGAAGCGTGTCCACTGGCCTGTGGCGTAGTTCATCTCGAACACTGTGTCCACTAACATGGTGGTACTGCCCTGGCCGTCTGCCTTCGGCAGGTCCTCTGTGTGCTCGCTGAGCTTGATCTGGATCACATCCCCCTGCTCCGGACATGGATTCTCTGTAGGGAGCAGGGACTGCTAGGAAGGTGTCTAGGGCCAAGGAACCCATCCCCCAACCCATGGGGGCCACCTCCCAAGCCTAGTAGCACAGACGCACCTCGAGAGCCAGCCATGAAGCCCAGGATGAGGGCCTTTTCTGGCCTTGTGACCTTGTTTGCCGTCTTGAACATCTCCTGGGCAGCAAACATCTGTTCTCTCTGTGAAGAGATGATGTGGGTGCTGGGGCTGCCGAGGCCACCTGCCTCTACCACTGGCCTCGCTGTGCTCATCATATACTGCCCCCGGGCTGCAAACAGGCAAAGCTATGCTATCCATCTAACGGCCCTGGGCCCTGCCAGAGTACCTACCGTGAGGGACAGGTTCTTCTTAGGTTGCTGCTGAACAGGGGCTGGGGCCTGGGTCTGTGGGGCCACCATGGCCACCATGGCCACTGGGGGTGTCTGAGCAGTGGGAGTGACAGCTGGGGGAGTAGTAGGTGTCAGAGGTGAGGCAGGTGCTGCAGGTGTTGGTGCAGCTGGGCTCAGGCCACTGTTATACATAGGTGCCCTTTGTTTAAACTGTGTTGGCAATGTGGGACTTGGGGCACTGGGTTCCTCAGGTGGCCGGCCGGCTTCCCGGGAGGGTGGAGCTGCAGGCAAAGGAGGTTTATTAAGAGTTGTCCAGGAAAGGGAGTCTTCATTCTTAATCTTCTCATCCTAGACTGGTCCCCAGGCTGCCTGCCCCAGACACCATTTTCTGGAGAGGCAATAGGCTCAGCTCCACTTCCCCTGTCCTGACAACTACCCCATATCCACCTACTCTGTCTTGTTCCCATCACTGCAGACCTTCACAGCCCTGTGCACTACTACCTAGCAAGGCAGAGCCCATGTCCTCAGGCATTTCTAGACCATGGATTAAGTTGTCTAGGGCTCTGGTTCGCTCCTGGCCTATGGCATGTTACCCATAAATACCCTGGTACTGGTTATAGGACAGTGGAAGCCAACTTCCCCAAGCCTAGCACTCTGTGCCTCAGCAAGGCTGCTACCCTTACATATCTTGAGGAAAACTGAAACCTCCCCCCACCCCACAGACACAGCCTACAAAGCTGAGCCCAATGTAACCAACCCCCTGAACAAGTGACTAACCCAAGCTTTTGTCTGCCCCTGAAAGAATCATCCCTCTGCAGAATGCCTCATCTGGGAAGAGAAAATCCTTGGCTTCCCCCTCCTCCGACCCCTACCCAAAGAATAGGGTGCCCAAAGTGGCAGTCTTGGCAGCTACTTGTTCATTCAAATCAGGACTTCTGGCCTCTTTCTTGGCCAGAAGATCCTCCTGCTGCCTGGGATCAAAAGACAATAGGACAGGTGCCTTAATGCTGAGCAGCACCTGTGAACAAGGCTACTACTTCCTAGGTGGGTATGCTGGGCTCAGTCCAGGTGTCAAAGTGACCCTGTGACCCCAGGGCAAGTCCTTATGTGGGCTGCAGGAAAACTGGTTCAGCTTACTGCCTGGTACTCACCTGGGGGAGTCTCAGAGCTGGGGTTGTAAGATGAAGCAGGTACCACACTGGGTGTAGAGGGCAGGTAACTTGTGGAGGGCAGTGTTGGCTCACTGTTCAGAGACCCAAGTTTCTGGAAGACAGAGACCGTGGTTCCTCCAGGCAGACGTAGCGGTTTCAGTATACCTCCCTGGCAGTAGCCTGAACAGCCTCAATCAGCCACTGCTCATCAACAGAGCAAGATAGCAAGTCCCACTAACCCCAGGGCAGGGATAGTGGCTTCTCTAACCCATAAGCCCTTGATTTTAGTGATGCTGGACTTTAAACTTAAGCCATGGCCACCACCCTATGCTCCCAAACTGACATCTAGGGAAAACAGTTCAGCAATGCAAAGTGTACTGCAAAGAAAATGGGCTCAGAGACCATACCGAGAAACAGCCACACTGCCTCCACACGCACAACCTATGCACAGACAGACCCCGAGAAAGAGCCACTCTGGCTGAAACACCCTTCCCACATGCATGTAATGCCTGGTCTTCAGAGCACTTGGACCTCAAACAGGAACCATACCCACTGGACAGTGAGGAGCACGAGGGAACAGTGGTGTGGAGACACCACAGGCAGTAATCCTAGTGTGAGGCAGGAATTTGTTCCAAACATGAGACTGATGCCCAAGTCAGGCTCTGGTTCCCTCTGCCACTAACATACATACATGTTCATACATGCATACACATCTGCACACATGTATACACATACTTTTATAGAATATATCTTAGTGACTATCAGTCAGGACAAGAGGGAGCACATTATTTTGGCTGTGTCAGCAGCTAGAAGTGGTTAGCACGCCCACAGCTGCACTGCATGGAAGCCCTACCTGTGTGGACACCAGGCCAGCAGCATAGTCAGGGGTGGCATTTTCAACAACTGTCTCTTCCTTGGCAGGCTTTTCTACCACTTCTGTGTCTGCCAATAAAGGAAAAGAGCTCGTTAGTGGCTCTCTGACCCAGCTCCAGTTCAGAAATCACCAGTGTTCTCTGTGAAGGCCAAATGCAAAATGGCACTGTGCACTTAGGTCTCAGGACAAAGAAATGATTCCTTGGATCAGGTATTATAACCTGTAATCCTAGCAGTTGGGAAGCTACAAGCTTGAGGCCAGCCTGGACTACAGTGTACGGACCTTGCCTCAAAAAGCCACACACCCCCACTCAAAAAAAAAAAAAAAAAGACCCCTGGGAAAAGTCTCATTACCATTATGGTAAGATAAGACACACGGACAGACTAGACCAGAAAGAGAAACCATGAAGAAACCCCAAAGGACCCAGACACTATACTGGCAGAAGTGACTACAGCACACTAAGCTACACTACCTCCGACCTCCCTCCAAACCTTCAGTGCTCCACATACCTAAAGTCTTCCTCCTTCTCTTTGCTTCTCGGCCAGCACCAACCGTATTCAGCTCAGAAATATCCAGCAGCTGCCAAAATAAATACATGCCACACTTAATTCTAGAGTAAAGGATCAATGCTTGGCCTTGGCAGGGTCATGAGAAAGAATGCCCCACCTTCACACCCCTTTCTTTCTGCAGTGGTGTCCTCGAAGGTGGTATTGGAGTCCGGTTCCCAGAAGGGCTGAAGACGCTGGGTGTGGTGGGACTTCTGAAGGGGGCTTGCTTCGGGATGCCTTTGAGAGGGGCTACGGAAAAGACACTAATGTCAGTGCTGATGTCTTTGGGGGTGGGGTGCCCAGCAGCCTTTTTGATCACGATTGCTGAGCCAGGCTGCTTCTGGGAAACCCCACAGAAAGTCTCCTACACATTATGGACTTTGCACATTTCATCCTGTGCTAAAATAACTCAAAGGGCTGAGACAATGACTCAGTGGTTAAGAGTATTGACTGCTCTTCCAGAAGACCCACTTTCGATTTCCAACACCCACGGTTAGCTCCAGTCTCAGGGGATCTGATGCCCTCTTCTGTCATCCAGGAGTACTGCACACTCATACACAAGACATATGCAGACAAAACAGCCATACACATACAATAAAAGAATTGAAAAAACAAAAACCCACTCAGACTCTTCCTCAGTATCACTAAGGTAAAGGGACACAAGTTCAGAACCTACAAGCCTATTGACATCCCTGAAGGTCTGTTGGGAAGACCCAGACTTGATGCTCTGAAAGTGCTTGACTCATATCCTTTCTGAGAAGGCTAGAGCAATAGAGCAATAGATAAACAGCTCTTTAAGACAACTGAGACCTCCAGATCTTGCAGGACAAGAACTATCAAACTCCCCAGAAAGTGGACTCACCCCAAACTGACGTTTTTCCTAAGAACAAAGGCAAATATCTTGAGCTACGTGACCTTACAGTATCAAGTCTCTCAGAACAGTGATATCCCACTTTTCTTTCTGTCCCTCAGGAGGGCTACCCAATGTCCTCAGTGGCAAGGGAAGCAAGGTGGAGCCTACACTACAGAAGCAGGCCATAGCAAAGGAAGACCCAGGCCCTGCAGTAAAAATGGTAGAATGGTCAGCCACACCAAGACTTTCCACTAGTTCTGTTCCAGTTTGGGGGTTATGGGAACTTGGTATTCCAAGATGCCAGATGAGAAGTGGGAGGACCCAGCAAGGCTTTCTCTTCACTCTACAGCTGTCTTGCCCACTGGGCCCTGAACATAGTTCTAGAGGAGTCCTCTCTTGTACTTGACACAGTGCTAAGTGCACATAAACACAGGCACATCCATGAAGAGCACATGCCATCTGTCACATCTGTTACACCCAAGAGGGTAGCTACAGATGACAGAGGGGCTACAGCAAATGTCTCCTTTCACAGTCAGCTGGTCTAATACTGGCTCACCACATACAGCCTCCTTCCTTTCCCCAGGCAAAGATGCATGCGGCCTTGCTTGTCCTCACAGCTACTCACTACAGAGCCAGTGGGCCTCACCTCTCAGGACTAACATTTTCTGGTGAGGAAAACTCTAATCTTTCAAGCCAAACCCTCCTGGCAAGTAACAACAGCACCGTCTGAGAGCAAGCGAGCCTTACTTGTAGTGTCCATCTTTCGGAGCAGCCCCCGGCCCTTGGCGTGGAATGGGACCCCAGCACTTCTCTTCAGCTGCTGGGCTGTCTCGGTAGCTATGAGAATAAAAGCCACAAGGTCAGGGTCACTTAGACCATAGGGTCACTCAGCCCATAAAGCAACTGTAACAAAAGAGACTTTAAAAATACTCAAAATAGGGCTGGAGAGATGGCTCAGCGGTTAAGAGCACTGACTGCTCTTCTAGAGGTCCTGAGTTCAAATCCCAGCAACCACATGGTGGCTCACAACCACCCATAATGAGATTTAATGCCCTCTTCTGGTGTGTCTGAAGACAGCTACAGTGTACTCATAAATAAAATAAATAAATCTTTTAAAAAAAAAAAAAAAAAAAAAAAAATACTCAAAATAACTCCTTTATATAACCCAGCAGGAATGCACCCAGAAATGCTGCTGAATTTTATAGCTGATACTTCCTTTAAAAAACAAACAAACAAAGCCCAAAACAAAGAGAAAGGAAGGACTGTTTCCTGGAATTTGCTTTTATAAATCATTGTCTAATAATTTAACATTAAGCTAAGAATTAATTAAGTGGAAAATCTGTTGCTGCTTTGTAATTGCCAGAGCTTCTATGTATTCTATTTTTCTTTGATTTCAATCACTGTTTTCAAGATGACAAGATGGACAGAATGGACACAGGAGAAATGAGCTAATTGTCATGCATGGCTTCTGGGTTGGCACATCTCATTGTGGGGCTAGGGGCTTCTGAGGACATACTGATTGGGCAATAGTTAAAGACCACCTTAATCTCCACTACATCTCTTCCAAAAGGAAAGCACTGTGGCTATAGCCCAACTCACGGAGGCCTGCCCCTTGTTCTGGTAACCAAAGCTGTCTTGGTATAGAAAACCTGAAGCCAACACATGCCTAAGTCTGTCCCCTGGGTTGCCCCCGACTTGACTGTTTTGTCATGTCATGTCATGGGCTCTCAGACTCCTACTCAACTCTGCCCCCTTCCCTCGGGACCTCTGTGGCAATGAAGAATTGCCACAACTAGTACTGAGGGTTTTCTCTTCTTGTGTCGCTTAATAGAAAATACTAAATTTCCCTGTGTGCACTGGCTTTCTAAAGTGACAACCGAATCTGAGCAAACACCAAGGGTAGTGACGGAAATTCAAGATAGCAACAAGGGAGACCCTTCCCTCAGCAGAATGAATGCCAACTAATGTTAAAAAGCTCAATGTTAAAATGAAATGACTGAAGCTGTAATAAAATTGAATGCCAAACAGTAAAACCCATCATATGTTGTAAGCTCATTTTGCTAAATAAATAAGCCTTCCCCTGTTCACCGAGGAGCCTGACACCAGCTCAAATATGGCAAAGGCTTTCTGTGTCAGGAAGTATCCACAAAAGTGGCTCCAGAGTCGACTGTCATTGCTACCTGCTGTGCCCCAGGGAACCAGAAGGTGCTGGTATCTTACAGGTCCCCACAGCTGTCTTACACAGCAGGCTCAGGCCACGATTCTCCTCACAGAGTTATACATAAATAAGAGAAAGAAGTGAGATTTTCCTGAAGTAGCTTACAAAAGCTGGAGGGCAGCATTAGCCTGAGTCCATCAGCAGTGCTACTGACTTCCCAAGAGCAGCGCTACAGCAACTGAGTAGAGAGACCTTCCAGAGGAGTTAAGTGGGCCCGAGCTCCACAGAACTACAGTTAGCACAAACCCCAGACCCCAGACCTGACCTGATCTAAGGCTCTTCCTTAGATTCCTGCAAACAGGATATTTGCTGTTCTGTGATCCCAGCACTCAGGAGGCTGAGGCAGGAGGAAGGAGAAGCCATGCCAGCCTAGGCTACACAAGTGAGACTGTTTTCCAATAAACAATAAAAAACCACCACCACCACCAACAACAACCAAAAAGAGCTATTTACAAATACTAGTAATGTTAACTGCATAGCCAAAATAAGTTTATGGAAATCAGTGTTTTTAATTTTTTAAATCTTTTTCATTTGTTGGTTTTTTTGTTTATATTGTTTTGCCAAAACAAAGTCTACATTGCCTAGGCTGGTCTTAAGCCAGTCTGTGTTCATGTGATCTTTCTTTCTCCGCATCTGAAAAAGCTGTGACCTAAGTACACAGTGCACCTGGCTGAAAACTCATGCTTTAATGTTTTTTGGCTAAAGGACACTTTCCCTGCCCTGTCTCCAGCAAGTAAATGCCTTCCACACAAACTTTCCTAAGACATGATTTAGAAAAGCATTTAATAAAATCATCTAGTATCTCATAATAGAGACCAGGTCAGGATACAAGCGGCAGCCTCACACCAGCACCCCACCGTGAGGAAGCCACACTCTGCCTGACTGGCACAGACTCTTGTTTTGTGAGATTACAGGCACCATGTTTGAGAACCCTGAGATCTCTAATGCATGCTTCTAAACAGCAGTGGTTAACACAGAAACCTCTGATTGTCTTTTTAAGAAGACAAACTCGTCTCTTTTAAGGTAAAAATATTTGAAAACTATAGAGAGAATATCTTGTGTATTGTATGGAAGCCTCTCTTGTCAATTAAAAAAACCTATGGCCTATAGGAAATGTGTAAAATAGAAGGTGGGACATCTGGTAGGCAGGAAGGATTCTCAGAGAGAGGCAGGCACAGGGCAATTTGCCCAGGAAAATGGAGGAAGACAGAGACCATGGGAGAAGCTGAGCAGAGGTAACCAGCCATGTGATAGAACTTATATTAGAATAAATGGGAAATTAAATTATGAACTAGTCAGAGAACAAGCCAAAGCTATGGCCAAGGTGTTTGTAAATACATTTTGAGTCTCAGAGTTGTTATTCCAGGAGCTCGGGGCTGGGAGGAAAGCATGCATTTAACAAATGGTGCTGACCATGGTAGGTGTGGAATCCAAGGCTTTTGATTTTATATTTAGTTATTAGATGGAGTCCAGGTAAACCGAGGAGAATAGTGACCCTGTTGTGCTGCAGAGCACTGAATGGAGGCCCTTGAGCCTGCAGTCTCTCTTGGACCAACAGCTAGCCTGGGACAGGAATTTCACCACCCCAGGAATTATAGGGGCTCACTCATCCAGTGAGCAGGGAGCAGGAATGCAAAGATCCAAAACAAAGTCTTTGGATAAACCCCAAGGGCTTAGGGCTGGACTGGGACCACCCTCCCAGAATGGGGGACAGTCACAGCAGGCATTTGAGTATATGCTGCACACACAGGAGCCCAGGAGAGTGGCAGCACCAAGACGGAATCTGTGGCTTTTCTGTTCCCTATGAACCAGACAGCGAAGAACCACTCAGCGTCCCGCTGAACAACACAGGGAGACAAAGATCACACAAGAGGAATCTGAGCACACCGGAACTTGGGAGAATGTAGAAAATTATGTTTTAAGACTGAAAAGGGAAGGACACTGGATTTAAATTCACATATACATATAATTTAAAATGGATAAATATAAAGATGAGAGGCACAATGACACGGAGGGTCCTAAGTTACCTGATGTTCTTTTAAATGGTTCAAAGAAGAAAATAAAAGAAATACATGTAACTGAAATTGAAATGTTACTGATGACTATTATTGTATTACTAATCCTCATTTTCTTTTTTTTTTAAATATTTATTTATTTATTTTATTTATGAGTACACTGTCGCTGTCTTCAGACACACCAGAAGAGGGCATCCAATCTCATTACGGATGGTTGTAAGCCACCATGTGGTTGCTGGGATTTGAACTCAGGACCTCTGGAAGAGCAGTCAGTGCTCTTAACAACTGAGCCATCTCTCCAGCCCCCACTAATCCTCATTTTCATTTTAATAATATTATTGACTTTCTATATCTTCTGAGAGAAAGAAAGCCTTATGTAAAAATTCTGAAAAATTTATAAATCAGACTAAGGAAAATGCTAAAATATTAGAGATGAAGGAAATGAGAGAAGTGAAATTTGAAATTACAAAAACATTTTTTTTAAATTTATAAATCAGACTAAGGAAAAGGCTAAGATACCAGAGATTAAGAAAAAAAAAGGGGAGAGAAAATTAAAGCAGATTTGGAGAAAGAAGAGGCCAACTGGAGATCACAGAACAGAGGTTGGAGGATTCTTTAAATCAAAATAGGGAACCCAATCCTTCATCTGATAGAGGGCTAATATCCAATATATATAAAGAACTCAAGAAATTAGACTCCAGACAACCAAATCACCCTATTAAAAAATGGGGTATAGAGCTTAACAAAGAATTTTCAACGGAAGAAACTCGAATGGCCGAGAAGCACCTAAAGAAATGTTCAGCATTTTTAGTCGTCAGGGAAATGCAAATCAAAACAACCCTGAGATTTCATCTCACACCAGTCAGAATGGCTAAGATTAAAAACTCAGGTGATAGTAGATGCTGGCGAGGGTGTGGAGAAAGAGGAACACTCCTCCATTGTTGGTGGGACTGCAAGATGGTGCAACCACTTTGGAAATCAGTGTGGCGGTTCCTCAGAAAATTGGACATAGCATTACCTGAGGATCCAGCTATACCACTCCTAGGCATATACCCAGAAGATGCTCGAACATATAACAAGGACATATGCTCAACTATGTTCATAGCAGCCTTATTTATAATAGCCAGGAGCTGGAAAGAACCCAGATGTCCTTCAACTGAGGAATGGATTCAAAAAATGTGGTATATTTACACAATGGAGTATTACTCAGCTATTAAAAACAATGAATTCGAGAGTTTCCTAGGTAAATGGATGGAACTAGAAATTATCATCCTGAGTGAGGTAAGCCAATCACAAAAGAACACACATGATATTCACTCACTGATTATTGGATATTAGCCCAGAACCTTGAAATGCCCAAGATACAACTCACAGGCCACATGAAGCTCATGAAGAAGGAAAACCAAGTGGGGGTGATTCGGTCCTTCTTAGAAGGAGCAACAAAATACTCAAGGGAGCAAATATGGAGACAAAGTGAGGGACAGAAACTGAAGGAGGGGCCGTCTGAAGACCACTCCACCTGAGTATCTACCCATGTGCAGTCACCAAAGGTAGATGCTGATGTGGAAGTCAGGAAGTGCATGCTGATAAGAGCCTGATATGGATATCTCCTCAGAGGTCTTCAAGAGTCTGACATACTCAGAGGCAGATGCTCACAACTAGCCATTGAACTGATCATGGGGTTCTCAATGGAGGAGTTAGAGTGAAGACTGAAGGAGCTGAAAAGATTTGCGGCACCATGAGGAGAGCAACAATACCAACCAACCACAGCTCCCAGGGTCTAAACCACCAGCCTGGGAGCACTTAGGGGGGGATCCAGGGCTTTAGCTGAATATGTAAGAGTGGAGGGCCCTGCTGGGCATAGGAGGAAGAAGAGAACCTTGAACTCATGAAGGCTGGACGCCCCAGGGGGTGGGAATTTTGAGGGTGGGGAGGTGGGGGGGGGGGTAGGTAGAGGTTATATCCACAGAGAAGAAGGAGGAGGGGTGAGGGGATTGGGGGTTCCTGGGTGGGTGGGGGATGGGGTAAGGGGACAACATAGGAAATGTAAATAAAACATCCAATAAAAAAAAAAAAAGTGATTGTTCCTTCTCCAAAAAAAAAAAAAAAATAGGGAACCTTCAGAGGACTCCAATCTACAATTTACAATAACATCAAAAGAGGCGGTTCCAGATGAGAGAAATCTGCAAAGGCTTAAAGAATTAAAACGGCAGCCCATGACAACCTAATATACTGAGTTAAGAATCCAGATTCTACTTATTGATGCTACCTTGGAACAATGGTATACAATAAACTGTACAGAATTTGGAGAAGTAAGCTATGTGTATGTGCTGACACATCACACTGTAGATGCACATTCAGAATTCCAATAGACTTCTGCCTTGAATTCTGAAACACATGATTATGAGATTGCACATTCATTAGCAGGTATGACAGCTGTGGAAATACAAATAGGGACTAACAATGCTCCGCTATTTGTCTCTAGTAAAATGAACAAGTCTGTTGCATGTTCCATGAAGCATGCTGGGGATGTACCACTCAGTGCTACAGAACAGGCAGTTGTACAGAGATCTGATCATGCTTCGAAGGACCCGCCTTTACAAATGAAAGCTGACGGTGCTTCAGCATGTGTATGCATCCATTGGAACATAACAATTTCATTAGACATTATGACATGAAATCTGTTACAGATATAACTTACAGTCCTACAGATCAAGCAAACTGTGAGCAATCTAACAAAAATGTCATGGAGGTGCCCACAGAACAGAGGAGGATAAACAAGATCTCCCAGGGATCAAGCACTGGGTTTTAGAAAGGACTGCTGAATTAGATCAGCTTATAGCAGTCCTAAGTCCAGAATGGAAAAAAAGGAAATGTGTTGTACTGGGGAGAATTTGCAATTATTCCAATAGGAAAAGAAAAGCTATGTCTTCCATCCAAATTGTTGGAAATCAGAGTTGCAGGGGGTTGGGGGGAGGACCCCTGAACATCTTGGTTGCAGACAGAAAGAGATCAACAAGACCAACAAAGCAGATAACGTATGCGCTGACCCCTCTGCAGTGGACGACCTCTGAGACACAGGTAATAAATCTTGCTGGCTAGAGTCCTTACAACTATATTTACATGCCATTCTTTCATATGATGTAGATGAAAATTAATATTACAGTTTGGTCATATAGTCCAAACTAACTTATAAAGAAAGATGTCTTTCACCTGCTCAAAGAACAAAGAATCATCTTTGACTGATCTGTGTATACTGCACGTTCTATACATATGTTATTGCTGAAACATGTATTATTTGTGAGTGTTTCTATGTTTGCAGACCAAAGAATCAGACACCAAGAAGACAAGACAAGCAGCATGGATGACCCAGGATGCCTCAACTCCTTGCTTCCAGGACAGCTTCAAAGAAAGCAGTTGACTCCATCTATCCAGCCTCACAGAGCGCTCCAGTCAGAACTGCAGGTAAGCCCTGAACTTCTCAACATACAGAGGCTGGGCAACAGCTAGCTTTCTCAGACTGACCATTATCCCAATTTTGGGGAGGAGAGGGAAGGCTCAAAAGGAAAGTGAAACCCCAAATCATCGGGAAACTGTTTTAAGAGACCAATGGCCCCAATCTCGAGAGCTGGGATGGATGGCCTTTGGCCGTTCAATAGATGATGGATGTCTGTCTCCTTGTTTAAGGGGGTTGGTTACAATATGTTAATGGTTCTGGTCAGGAAAGAAACAAAATAGAGACACTGGATTCAGGGATTTCTTTTTCTCTCTCTTTTTCTTTCCTCTATCCTTTCTCTCCAATAGACAAGTGTTAGGGGGAAAAGGGAGAAGGAATGAAAAGAAATAGGGGAATATAGGAATAATGGATGGATTATTGAATCTATTTTTAAGTCAAAGAACGTTAATAAGACAAAAATCTTACACTGGTATTGATTTTTGTATATTGATACATATTAAGGTTACATTTGTTTACATTGGTATAGATCTTTGTATATTGATACAGATTTAGGTTATATTTTGCTACAACAAGCTAAGATACTTAATGCAATTCATTTAAAAATGCAATGTTAAAGCCGGGCGGTGGTGGCGCACGCCTTTAATCCCAGCACTTGGGAGGCAGAGGCAGGTGGATCTCTGAGTTCGAGGCCAGCCTGGTCTACAGAGTGAGTTCCAGGACAGCCAGGGCTACACAGAGAAACCCTGTCTCGAAAAACCAAAAAAAAAAAAAAAAAAAAAATGCAATGTTAAGTTCCAGTCCTTAAAAGCTGCTATAAGAAACTATTTAAAATAATTAGAAATACAAGTTAATAGTCAGTCAAACATATTGTCTTGAAGGTACTACTTTAGTTCTTTACAAAATTAAGCTTTATTTGAGGTAGATGTTCTCAAGGTTAATCAGATAGTAAATAGCTAGAAAAAAAACAGTTCAGATATAGATAGATGGTCTTCAAATACCTCAGAGACTCACAGAATACAGCATTTAAAGATGCTTTATTAATTTAATCCTTTTTGGACAATGAGACAGGTCTCCTCCTGGCAGCACCCCTACTGGGCTTCAAAGGAGATGAGCATTGGAGAAACTCCTTATGTAGTTTGCTTAAGAAGTGACAAGCTGGCCACTGGGCAAGAAACTGCCCTTGCTTCATGCTGACAGAATGCTGTCTAAACTGGACAAATGGGATGCAGGGAAGTCGACTGCTGAGGTTTGCCAAGACAAGGTAAGCTGTCCTTTATATTTCCTGTTTCACAAAAAGGTCTATCAGATATTCTGGGCCAGAAGGCTACAAATGATGCTCCTACGACTCAGAGGAATTTGGGGGCCTGTCCAGACAGCCAACTGTCCTTGTTGTCATTTGGAAGTTGCTTGCCTACACTTCCTGCTTACTCAGATAATAGTTATTCCTTCTTGGATGGGGCTGAAGACTACATAGATGTTTTATTGATGTTTATAGAGGTTTTAAGATCTATGGAAGTTTTAAGAATGATTTAAGTACAGAACTCTGAACTCACCAGGATAGGATAGAGAGGAGAGTAATTTATCCAAAGTTGCCAAATACATATGACCTAGACATTATAAATATAATTCTTACCTGATAGTTTTTCATATTTGCTATTATTGTATATAGTCTATTGATGTAAAAGAAAGCCTTTTATTACCAGGCAGTGGTGGCACACACCTTGAATCCCAGCACTTGGGAGGCAGAGGCAGGCAGATTTCTGAGCTCGAGGCCAGCCTGGTCTACAGAGTGAGTTCCAGGACAGCCAGGGCTACACAGAGAAACCCTGTCTCAAAAAAAACAAAAACAAAAACAAACAAACAAAAAAGAAAGCCTTTTATTGAACTAAAGGGGGGAATTATGTTGTGTATTATACAGGTGCATCAACTTGTCAATAAAAACTCTATGTCTTATAGGAAAGGGAAGATAGAAGGTGGGACATCTGGTAGGCAGAAAGGATTCTGGGAAGAGAGCCAGGCACATGGAGTTTTGTCTGGGAACATGGGGAGCACAGAAGCGTGGGATCTGAGAGGAGGTAGCCATCCATGTGGCAGAACTTAGATTACAATCAATGGGATATTAAAGTATGAGCTAGTCCGAGAATGAGCCAAAGCTTATGGCTAAGTAAATATATTTTGAGTCTCAGTGTCCTTACTCCAGGGGCTTGGGGCTGGAAGGAAAACCCCACAGAGAAAAGAGCAGGGTGGTTGTGACCCAGGCACTCACATTTCTGCAGCAGTTCTGCCCGCAGTGTAGCACTCTTAGGTTTCCGCTTCAGCTGAAAATGCTTCACTGGTGGGGTGAGAGGCCCAGCAAGGGTGGTCAGGGCATTCTTGTTCAGGTACTGGCACTCCAGTGGTAGCATGGCAGATGCCTCGCACTCACTCACTGTGGAGAGCCAGAGAGTGTTAGAGGAAGTAGCTCTGGGGTTGTTGCCCCCACAGCTCACATGTAGACAACTCCACGAAGGCTTTCATTATTTACCACTGTGACAGCTTCTTGCTTTGGTTTCAAGCCCTCTATGGTCCCCACCACTACAGTTCCACCATCTCTAGAACCCAAGATCATCCAGGTGCATCAGGACCAAAGAATAGGCCTGCTGCCCAAATGAAGACTCATCAGATTTTCCAGGGGCTTTTTAAAAACAAGAAATGCCTAGAAAGGAAGACAGGATTCCTCAGTTCTGTCAGCTGCAGGCCACTGGACTCCACAGGAGGTCCAGGAACCACAGGCTTCAGCACACAGCAGCACGGAGAGCAGCCTCCTGCATTCTAACTACAAGGCAGCCTCAACACCAAGAGGAACAAGTGTGTGGCTACCTTAGCCTTCCTTTGACTGCAGAGCCCTGGCCATCTCTCCTGACACGCCTCAGTGGCAACCTTCTAAAGCCACCCACATTCGATGTGGTCACCAAGAGGCTGGAGCCTGAAAAACTCCAAGAGTTGCCCCAATCAATCATGTAACTGAGGGAAGCAGAATCATGAGAGAAGCAAGCTGCCTCATCCTCCTACTACCAAGAGAACCAGCCACCCTAAGGGATGTGACTGACACGTGCAGACCAATGCTCCCAGTCTGCAACTACAAATCAACAAAACCCAAAAAATGTCCTAGGGCCTCACAAGCAGGCCTGTGGGAGTGTGTGACCTCGAGCCTCTAACTCCATCTTTCCGAAGAAGACCTTGAGACACAGGTATCTACTTTAGGACAGAGAATGTTTTAGGCTCTGGAAACACAACCTGTAGGGTTTTCACCCCTGAGGAACTTACGGGGAGGGACAGCAATGGCCAAGTAAATCATGGATGAGTCATGAAATTACAGACACAGCACATGCAGCAGGGACAGGGTTGTCAGAAGTCAGACTGTGGGGAAGGACAGCCAGTGTCTAAGGAGCCCTGGCACACAACACCAACAGTATGATAATGACAACACAATTTCTAAAACTAGAGCCCTTTCTTCCTACTGCAAAATAAAATCCAGCTACTTACCTTTTTCTCTAAGTTCTCCTAAGATGTCTTGAACATTGGGGTTCTGTTCCTCAAGGTCCAGATTCAAGGAGCCCGTGTCAGGGAAGGACTTCAGGATGTCAGCAACCATGAGGACCCAGGGGTCTGAATCCAGGGTGGCCAGCTGGATGATATCCATCAGAGCACCCTTCATCTGCCAAGACAGAAGAAACCAAGTATATGCTACCAGCCTCACTTGGCCTCTTGGAACAGTGACACCTAAAAAATGTCCCCTGCCATGAATCTATCCATTTACATATTGAGGCCTCTGGGTGGCCTGTGGCAGTTTATGAGCCATGAGCACCTACCACAGAGTCAGAGGGGCCAGGAAGAGTCTTTGTTGCAGCCTGTGTGAGAGTTTGTGGCTGAAGACAAGAGTGATTTGACCTCTACCACCCACAGATAGGAGTGTCACCTTATTTGTGCTGCTTTGTTACAGTAGCTGTGGTGGTTTGCATAAGAATGGCCCAATAGGCTCAGGTCTGAATGCTTGGTGCCGTAGAATGGTCTGGGAAGGATTAGGAGGGGTGATCTTGTTGGGAGGCGTGAAGCTGAATTTTAGCAGAGCCATTGTTTCTGGCAAGGTACAATGGCTTTGAAGTAGCCTTTTGTAAATAGTCAGTGATTGTTATCTGAAGGATTCATGAGCCTTTGCATAACTTAAGGTCTCCTCCTGCTGAGGTTACTAAGGTCACGGTTCCTTCATGCACCTCTTAGATCTGGTAAGAGGTTTTTGCAAAGGAAATTGACATGCTAAATTGCCTTTTGTGTAATAAAGAGGTTCTACAAAGTTGGTTCCTAATTCAGCCCTTCAGGGGCTGTCCCCCTCCCCCCCACACACACACACTCTGAGAAACCTAAATTCATCCAGCAGTGCCTCTCTTTCTCAACTCATCCTGTATAACACAATGCACACAAAGAGGGGTGTCATTAGGGGTGGGCTTTGAGGTTTCCAATGCCACGTGCCTTACCATCTCTACGCCTGTCATTTGTGGATCAGATGTGAACTCTCAACTACTTCTCCAGCCCCCTTCTGCCTGGCTGCCGCTACACTCCAAGCCATGATGAGCATGGACTAACCTTTTAAAACTGTAAACAAGCCCTAAGTTAAATGCCTTCCTTTATAAGTTACCTGTGTGGAGACACTATGACTAAGACAGTAGCCCTGGAAAGGCAACTTACAAAGAGGGAAAACAGGTAATATTTTCTAAAAGAATGGCTCTTAAGATAATCAGGTTAAAACCGGGCGGTGGTGGCGCACGCCGTTAATCCCAGCACTTGGGAGGCAGAGGCAGGCGGATTTCTGAGTTTGAGAGTTCGAAGCTAGCCTGGTCTACAGAGTGAGTTCCAGGACAGCCAGGGCTACACAGAGAAACCCTGTCTCGAAAAACCAAAAAAAAAAAAAAAAAAAGTTATCAGGCTAAAAATAGAAAGAACATTGATTTGAATAATTTATGTGCCCTCCAAATTTGTATTTTGAAGTATGTCTTTAAGTTGCCATAGACTGAGCTGCTTTACAACAACAGATATGGGCTAAGCATAGCAGAGTTTCATGCCAGCCAGAGTTAACACAGTGAGACCTTGTTTCAAAAACAAATATACACTTCACAGGCCTAAGAGTTGGGAAGTGGGAAGCCAAGTGCTAGCAAATTTGATGTACAGTAAGGGGGCTTTCTCCCTTACACAAACACATCCCATGGTCCTCTAGGGACATAATCCCATTGTGCTTCTCAGTCTCTCAAAGCGCTGCTGAGTGGGTTAGTCTGCAGAATTCAATCTCAATGTGCTGCTGGGTGGGTTAGCCTGCTGAATTCAGTGTGTACCCGCCTGGGAGACAGACACGGGACAACAGGAAAGCCCTAGTTCATACATGATGAAACTCCCGCTAGGTGGCATTCTTTACTTTGTATGAAGGTGTGTCTCTGAATTTTCAATTGTTGATTATTATACTGGCAGAGAGCTAAGTGCTGGCAGAATATTGTCATTTCTATGCCCCATCACCAGGTTTTCTATTTATAAATGTTTGCCCTTCCTCACCTGCTTAAAGGCAAAGAGATGTATCAGGTGTTGTCTATCTACTGATTGGCTGTAATAAAGATCTGAGAGTCAATAGCTGGGGGCAGGAAGTATGAGGGTGGAACTTCCAAGCAGAGAGAGGAATGCAGGAGGAAGGCAGACATAGCAGAATCAAAAGCAGACACAGAAAGGAACAGACACGTTCTTGAGAGAGCAGGGAGGGAAAGAACTAGCCACTTGGTGGGTCACAGGCTAAACAGTCAGGTAAAGCTTAAATGGTAGTGTCAGGTGCTGTCAGCCCTTCAAACCCTCGAATCCCATATGTGTGGATTCAATTGCAAAAACTGTAAAGAAAGGGTGCTCACTGTGTGCATGCTTTTATTTGACACTATTCCCTAGACAATGCAGTACAATTATACTAGAGGTCATAAATGCTGTAAAGATGATTTAAGTACATAGGTTACACAAAAAGACTATGCCACTGTACAAGAGGCACCTGAATATCCTGGGCTCCAAACTGATCCCCCACAGTTACTGAGGGATAGCTGTACTGTAATGGCAGCCCAAGTTAACACAGCCATTTGCACACTGAATAAAACCATAAACAAAAACTTACTTTTGGCCATACTCTCACTGTGCTTACCACAGGCACTGATTGAATGGGTGATGACCAAGCCCCTTACCTCTTGTGGGCACCACATGGAAGACAAGCATCCTACCTTGCATCCAGCTTGTAGCTGGACATGTGTACCCATCCAACAAATCAAGGAGGAGGGAATAAAGTGTGTGTCTTATATAAACTTGACACAAGCCAGAGTAATCTGAGAGAACCTCAATTGAGGAAATGCCTCCATAAGATCCAACTCGAAGGCATTTTTGTAGGGAAGACCTGCACCCACACATATTGTATCAAATGGCTATGTAGATGTGCCCCTGTATTTTCAATTGTTAATTGTTGTGCTGGCAGAGCCAAGTGCTGGCAAGATATTTCTACGGCCCATTACCTGCTTTTTAGATGTAAATGTGTATCCTTCCTCACCTGACCAAAAGATGATTCTCTGAGATTATCAGGTTAAAAATCAAGCTGCCATTTTGAATGTCATGTAGCCTTCAATGCCAAAAGGCAATAAAGAAAGATGGATTAGGCACTGCCCTGCTTCTGACTGGCTCAAACTGAGTAAATAAGGAGCGTGGCTTTTTTCAGAATAAAGAACTGGCAGCTGGAGCTGGTGTGGAAATGTTTTACCTGTTAAAAAGATGGACAATACTATAGCAGAGGCCACCGACCCCGTCGAGTTTCACTTAGTTACCATCATGGAGCTAATAACAGTATGGTCAGTAATGACCCAAGGAAAAATCAGAATAAAGAAGGAAAGAGAAACCCCTTGTCCTCCTCAGAATTCACAGGATCAGACTTAGATAAGGAAAGGATTGAAGGCCTAGTAGATACTGGGGTAGCTATAAAAATAATTTCACAAGATTCTTAGAATCCAACCTGGGCACTTTGAAAGGTATCTATATATCTCCTAGGGATTGGGATGCTGTCTCAGATAAAATGAACTCTAAAATGGATAAATGTAGAGGTCCAAAAAAATCAGATAAGAATTTAGACCATGTGTGGCAGATATAGTCATGAATTTATAGGAAAGAGATCTATTGTAACAGTGGGAAACACAGATTAACATTCCTTCAACTTCAGGAACAAGCTGTAAAATGGGAGATGCTCCCGATGGAGGTACTGGAAAATAATACAAAACACAGTTACAGACTATTCAGGCTGTCCACAGGCAGGCCACAGCAGGTGCTGGCTCTCCAAATTTATAAGGCAAGACACTACTGATAGAGTACCAATTGCTCTACCATTAAAATGGGTAACTAACAAGCCTATTTGAGTAGAGCAGTGATCCTTAAGTAAGGAAAGCTACAGGCCCTAGGTCCAAGAGCAGCTGGAGGCTCAACATACGGAAGAGTCCACCAGCCCTTGGAATTCTCCTATATTTATCAATAAAAAGGAATCTGAAAAATAGAGGCTGTTATTTGACCTAAGAGCTATCAATAAGGTAATTCAGCCTATGAGTTCTTTTGTTACCTAAAGCATGGTTTATTAAGTGAATGATTTAAAAGATTGCTTTTTCTCAATATCCCCGCAAGAATAGGACAAAGAAAAATCTGCTTTCATTGTGCTCACATTTAACAATAAGCAGCCTATAAAAAGATATCAATGGAAACTTTTGCCACAAGGAATGTTAAACAGCCCCACCTTGTGTCAATATTTTGTACAACAGCTATTAAAAATGATTCGCAAACAAGTTTCCTCAATCTATAGTTTATCATTGTATGGATGATAACTTGTTGGCTGATTTCAATATACACACCTTAGAAAAAAATGTTTGTTGAAGTAAAAACAAATTTTGCTTTGCTGGGGATTACAAATTGCTTTTGAAAAAACACAAAGAAGAGATTCTAACAATTATCTAGGGTACAAGAATATTTAACCACAGAAAGTACAGATTTGAAGAGATCAGTTACAAACTCTTATTAGTGGTTTTCAAAAAATGCTGGGAGATATTAATTGGCTATGGCCCCACACTGGGCTAACTACTCAAGGGTTAAGTAATTTATTTCAAACCTTAGAAGCTAATTCGGGCTTAAACAGTCCAAGCAAATGACCAGCTGAGGCTGAGAGAGAATTCGCTTCTGGTAGGAGAGATTATAGGATGCATATGTGGGTCATACGGATCCCACGCCTGATTGTATTCTAAGTAAATGACCTTCTGCTCATTTTCCCACAAGAATTCTTATTTACAAAGACAATAGTATCTTAGAATAGATATGTTTAGCACATAAACTGAGTAAAAACATTAAAAACCTATTGTGGTTTGGATATGGTTGGCCCATGGGAAGTTTCACAATTAGATATGACCTTCTTTGGGCAGGTGTGGCCTTGCTGTAGAAAGTTCATCACTGTGGGGGTGGGGGTTTTGAGGTCTTAAGCTCAAGCTCTACCCAGTGTGGGTGAGAGTCTCCTTTTGCCTAGCTTTAGATCAAGATGTAGAACTCTAAGCTCCTCCAGCATTATGTCTGTCTACAGGCTGCCATGCTTCTTTCCATGATGACAATGGATTGAATCTCTGAAAC